ATACTTAATGTATTAAAACATTTAAATAAGAACAAAATTTGTGTCCTCAGTTTTAAAAAATATGAATCATGTATTTTGTGTTGACTTGCTCATAAGCTGTTGCTGAACAGACAGCAACAAAGAAAACTGAAATATTTAACTTTATCAGTCTAATTTTAGCTCTGATGGTGGTGTACAATAAATTTATCAAATTTTTTATCTGTGTTTGCTGATTAGTTGCTGAACAAATTGATATCTGCAGATTAAAGTCACAAATGGCCTTTAAGACATGTTTGCAAAGTTGAACCTGCCCTCTTGTACTTTCCTACATGCAGCAAGGAGTTATGGGAGACGTCGAGGTAAATTCAGCTTCTGTTCCATGTGCTTTTATTGTTTCTGTAAACAGATACCAAACTGAAGCTTTTGGTCTGAGCTGAGATTTTTTTGTCCATCTGCTTTTGTTTTTCAAACCTTTTAGTCATTTTTTTAAATTCAGAGTCAGAATAAGCTTTATTATCATTGCACCGAGATGCAATGAGAATATGTACGTACAGTCGTCCGAAAGATGGACGGAGTGCACGAAGCTGCTACTATAAGCGCAGCCTTCTTATTCTTTTCAAAATACTTTTTTTAGATAGAAAATTTGACAAAGCCATGAGGAGAGGGGTAGTGGTAGTCCTCAAAGCATGGACCAACCTTCACATAGGCAGCAGCCTGACAAGGTCCAAATTAGCTGCGACCGTCTTCTTTGTATGTTGATAAACCAGGATCCAGACTATTCCAAAAACAGGAAACCTGTTATCATAACTCCAATTATATGCAATTTCGGCATTCTCGATCGACAGCAGAGGTAGACACATCACATTCCACTTCCCCAGAGATTTATCCAGCTTGCATGCATGTCGTCCGAGCAGATGAGGGTTTTCCAGGACCCTGTCTCTTTGTTGAAAAAAAAATTGTAATTTACGTCGAAAGTCCAGTTGGTCAGATCCAAAACAGTAGTTTCCATTTCGGAAAGATTTGTAAAAATAGGAGCTGCTCCGATACACAGACAGAGAGCAAAAGGCAGGAGGAGAACAGGGAGTGGGGAGGAATGCTTGCGCCTCGTTAGAGAGCTAGTGAGGAAAAAAAAAAAATAATAATAATTTATTGTAGAATCAAGTTTACATCTTGCCCAGTGGGTTATAGATTGTGAACTTCAGATTCTGCTTTAGTTTTCAGACATGAATGAAGTTGTGGCTTTCTAAATTAGGTCAGGCTTATTTGAAGCTATTACTGTCTCCTTGTATGGCGCTCCGAAGTGCAAAGACATTGATTAAATTTTAGTAGAAAACTTTTTTCCTCAGTTTGTCCTGTTAGCGCAATAATCGTCACACTAAAACTGTAAAATAAAGTTAAACCACAAAGGGTATGCAAATGTTAGCATTCTGGCAGACACTATTGATTAAACATATTTGAACTCATTTTGCACGTCGGGGGAGTACAATTTGTAGTTTCTTATGTAAAACAGTCATAATATGAAGATCACGTTAGGTGAAAGTGAATACCAGGGCAACGGCTGCTTTTGTTCAGGAAGAAATGCATTTTTTTCCAGCCATGTCTCAAAGAGCATGGTGTAATGTTCATCACTATTTGTATGCACCCCCCCCCCCCCAGTCCAGAAACATCATGTTAGGGCAACAAGTTGTGTTAGTTCTGTGACTGTGCATGTTTTATGGGGAGTGGTGCCACAGAGGCTAGAGAAGGTGGGCCTGTGATTGGAAGGTCACCAGTTCGACTCCCTGGACTGTCAACATAAAAATGTGGGTGGGAAAGGTGAAACACCCACACCTGCCTCCACTGTCATTTGCCCCACCCTGGGCCCTTGAGCAAGGCCCTTAACCCCCACCATTTGCTCCCAAACAGGTTTCTCTTAGAAATGAGTCGTCATGACTCAATGAGACTACCTATACAAATAAAGATAAATAAATAAAATCTGCAACAGACCAGTTCAGTCTTCCAAATATCTTTGCCTCATCATCACTCCACCATGTTGTACGATCATGACACTACAGTGGCCCAGAGATGACAAAACAACAGTTTGATGTAGAGTGGATGATTCCTGTAGTTTGTTCTACATATCTGAAATGGGAGAATCAAGATTTTCACGTCATACAAATTCAGTCAACCTTTATTTATACAGGTTAATCCCACTGAGCCTCAGGGACTCATTTACAAGACATACATATTTAGACACATTCAAGTTTTTATGAGCAAACAACACTGGGTTTTTTATAATCTCCAAAAATAATTTATCATCAGCCGTCACAGATTAAACGAGCAATAAAAGCCATGAAAGGTGAGGGAAGCAGTTCTCACATTTAATAATCCTAAAACAAGTTACCAGTTTGGTGATTCAAGGCAGATAAGGCAGCATAGTTAACCTGTATTTTTCTGAAATTCAGTACTGCCATGTGAAAGACAAGACCTATTTTTCAGATGATGTTATAATATTTAAACCAAACCATAAATCAAGGTATGTGCCATTTAAACATTAAATGTATTTAAGATGGTGTACAATTTTCTTCTATTAGTCTCCCTACAGATATTCAATTCAGTTTATTTATATAGCGCCAAATCACAACAAAGTTGTCTCAGGGCACTTTACAGAAACATTTACATACATAAAAGCCAATTAGTAGTTCTCTATCTAAGGAATCCAGCAGACAAGATGAATCTTGGCTTCAATGCAGTCTCCCATCCTGAGCAAGCACAGTGGCAACAGTGGAAAGGAAAAACTCCCTTTTAAAAGGAAGAAACCTCCAGCAGAATCAGGCTCAGGACAAGCGGCCATCTGCTTTGACCGGTTGGTTGAGAGGACAGGGAGGAGAGACAGACGAACACAGAGATACATACAATATAATACAGAGATATAATACAGATATCTGAATAATAAAAACTAAACGGAGTATAATTCTCACGTTAGGCTGCTGCTTTGTTTTCATTTATCTAGTGTTGAGCTAAAAGTACATGGGTTGTTTTATAGGCAGCTTTTTCTTGAATTTGTCTTTTTAATGGCAAAGGTTTTATTTCGCCTTAATGAAGGTCTGGTACTGTCATTTAATAGGTCATGCTTGTGCTTGTGTTGTAAAATGTAAAATATAACTTTTGCTGTCAACTCACCTACTTTTATGTTTTTGTTAGGCCGCTCCTCCCTCTTCCCTATTGATGACAATCTCCTCGATGACAGCCATGGAAACCAGGGTGTCCCAGGAGTCCTTGGCTCCCTAAACTGTTACCCCCACCAAAACGGTGAGCACATCGAGCGCTTCTCTCGTAAAGTGTTCGTTGGAGGTCTGCCCCCTGACATAGATGAAGGTGAGAATGATTCAAAGAAAAGTTTATGTGTTCCACTGCTCTGCTGCCTTTTCTTTTCATTTAATGCATTTCCCTGCCTTGATCTTCTGTTGTTTGGTTTTTCATCCTCTCCCCTCAGATGAAATCACTTCAAGTTTCCGTCGCTTTGGTCACCTGGTAGTGGACTGGCCTCATAAAGCAGAGAGCAAATCCTACTTTCCACCTAAAGGTACTGACAGAATTTCTGAGTGACATTATTGACCACCATTATCAGAACTGACCTTGATTAGAAGCTATGATGCAAAAATAATTTTCACTGGGATACATTTCAGTCAAAGAGACCTCCATGCATTCTAATTCCCTGAAAGCAGGGGTGATTCTAGGATCTGACCTGTAGGGGTGCTTAGCCCCCAGTGCTGACAATAGCTATTGGCTTGAACAACGCAATGGCCATTGGCATCAGAAGCATTTGTAAAGTAGAGGACACACTGGTGGGGGTCTAGAGTTTTTCCACCAGAAAATTTTGAATAAAGTAGATGCCATTTCCTGCATTCTGGTGTATTTTAACAGGTTTTTAAATATCTACTTTTACCTCCATAAGTAAACACTTGATTCAATAACTATTTTAGAGAGTTCGACACAAGAAGTAGCGCTAAGCTAGTGGCATTCAATAGAGACATGCTAGTTAAGATGGTACAGACGTAGCGCTCTGCTTTACATTAAACAACCTAATAAACACTTTGTACAAAATCAGTTTAGTTTTAACTGATCATAACAAACAAAGACTAAACTAATGCAACCAGAAGTTGTAGCATATATCTACATATAAATCCAAGGGTGTCAGAAGCATCCGTAATGTGGGGGGGGACACAATGAATGTGTGTAGGTGTGTGCACGCGCACACATAAAAAAAAAGGTGTTCACTAGTGAATAAAAAAGCAGCATTTCACCTAGATTTCCTTTAATTCCACACATTTAAAACATGTTTCTCACCAAGTTTGTGTAAATTCAGCTGTGGGTTTTAAAGTAATTTTAACTTTAATACACTTGAATACAGAGCATCAGATCGGCACTATTTGTCTTTATAGAGAAATAAAAAACATCACCACTGGACTTTTTTACTTGTGTTCAACACTATTCATCTAAATTATGTTTCTCATGAAGCTTGAGGACAATAAGGTGTGGGGTTTTAAAGACATTTCAACTTTAGTGCACCTGAACACACCACGTCTTACACCTGCAGCGTCTTACAGCGTCACAGTTTCTGCTAAGCTAACATGCTACAGGCGTAGCGCTGCTCTCAAGCGAAGTGAAGCAAAGAGTCACTAATCTAGGAGTGATACTTGACCCTTCTCTGAAACTCAACAATCATGTAAATATGATTGTTAAATCCTGCTTTTTCCAGCTGAGGCGACTGTCTAAGCTGAAGCCCATATTGTCCAAAAATAACCTGGAGACAGTAATTCATGCATTCATTACATCCAGGCTCGACTATTGCAACTCACTCTTTTTTTGGTATCAGTCAGACCTCCATAGCTAGACTTCAACTGGTCCAAAATGCAGCAGCCCGGTTTTTGACCAGCACAAGCAAAAGAGATCACATTACACCTGTTTTGGCCTCCCTACACTGGCTTCCGGTTCACCTTCGAATCAAATTCAAAATACTCTTGTATGTCTATAAATCACTAAACAGCTCTGCCCCCTCCTATCTTACTGATCTGCTCCAGCCGTATGTCCCACCACGTTCTCTCAGATCAGCAGACCAGTTGCTCCTAACAGTCCCTGGAACCTGTCTCAAGCGCAGAGGTGACAGGGCCTTCTCTGTAGCATGCCCAAGACTTTGGAATGAGTTACCTCTGCTCGTTAGACAGGCTCCCTCCCTCACAGTTTTTAAATCTCGCTTAAAAACACACTTTTATTCCCTGGCTTTCAGCACTGTGTGATCTGTGCTGAGTCTGTGTGCAACACACTGTGTTGGTCATGTTGCGGTTGTTGTTGTTATCCATTATTGTTTTTGTTGGTTTCTACTTTTTGGTGTCCTGTTATGTAATCTGTTGCTGTGTGCTTGTTCTGTTTGTCCCTGTACAGCACTTTGGTGTGCTTTGTCACTGTTTAAAGTGCTTTATAAATAAATTGGTATGGTATGGTATGGTATGGTAAGCATCCTCCTAACATGAATATATGTTTATGATCAACCCCCTGGTCAACCACTGCCCACACTAAGCTCGCTAAACTGGCGAGCCAGTAACACAGGTACCTCCACCTGTGCGCGTTTTCTGCCGAGGCAAGAGGCAGGAAGGGACGGTGGAGAGTTGGAGGTAACCAGGAAAACCTGGAGTGGCGTTTTAGTGGCTTGAATATTCTCCTATTAATCAAGTGGAATGGATTCGTTCACGAAGAAAGAGAAACGGCGTCGCCTGAACTAATGTTTTTTTAGTAAGGGGGGGGGGGGGTGTCCAAATGAACTTTTTTTTTAATGTGGGGGGACTTGTCCCCTTCACATATAATGGTTGCGACGCCTATGTATAAAACACACAAAATAAAACACAACTAGCTTTAAGCATTAACCTTTAATTTAAACATTAAGCATGTAATGTAATAATGACATAAAATGGAAGATTTACCTGTAGTTACCTTCGTACAGATGAACATGTGGTACTTCCTGTTTATAACTGTTACATTGTATTTTTATTTTTTTCTCACTGGCTCTCAAATGAGGCGCACACATTTCTTCCCGCTCCCTGTTCTGCTTTTTTTCTCTCTGTCTGTGTATCAGAGCAGCTCCTATTTTTACACATCTTCTGAAATGAAAACTACTGTTTTGGATCTGACAACTGGACTTTCGATGCAAATGATAAAATATTTTCAACAATGCGACAGGGTCCTGGAGAATCCACATCTGCTCGGACGACACTCATACAGCTGGATAAATCTCTGGGGAAGTGGAATGTGATATGTCTATCTCTGCTGTTGATTGAGGATGCTGAAATTGCATATAATTTGATTTATGATAACAGGTTTCCTGTTTTTGGAATAGTCTGGATCCTGGTTTATCAACGTACAAAGAAGACGGCTGCAGCTAATTTGGACCTCATCAGGCTTCTGCCTAAGTGAAAGTTTGGTTGGTGCTTGGAGGACTCAAAATTAGCTGATTTACGAGTAAAACCGTAAGTTAGAAGTGATTTGAATCACAGGCCACCTGCGGCTTTGGGATTCGTCAGCATGAAAACAACCTTGAAGAGGCTCGTAAGCACGGACCAGTAGAATGCACCCTAATCTGGCCATTTCGGACCTTGGAAGTGTCAGTACAGACTCGAGGCTGACGGAAAACTAGTCTGCCTGAATAAATCAACAATTGTGGTTATCCGAATCTGACTCCCCGGTTGGCCTCGAACAGGCTGACTTATCAATTTCTCCTGGAAAATGTAAATGGTAAATGGACTGTACTTATATAGCGCCTTTCTATCTAATCAAGATACTCAAAGCGCTTTACATTACAATCTGTGCCTCATTTACCCATTCACACAGCACTCTACTATATCTCTCCAAAGCTAATTTATCAAATCATTCTAAAGAGACTAATCAGAGCTTTAGATCACATTCATTCACCGATGGGACACACATCGGAGGCGATGAGGGGTTCAGTGTCTTGCCCATTGACACTTCGGCATGTGACTGCTGGTGGCTTCGAACCCCCAACTCTTGCATTGGAGGATGACTGCTCTAACCACTCAGCCACAGCCGCCCTTCAGCCACAGCCGCCCTAGTGTAAACTAAGGAAAAGCTTTGTCTAATGCACCTCCCCACCCCCCTGTGGAGGCTTATCAGAATTGTGCCAGCTGACTCATCTTATCAGGCCAATGGACAAACTGTTAGTGCTTCATGGACAGCCTCATCATAAATGCATATGTAATGTGTTCATAAATGTGCTTGATGACAGAGTTTTGTCATGTCTTAAATTGTGTCCTGTTAGGACAAGGTGTCAATAGATCTTTTTTGTAATGCCACTACCCCCCTCCTCATGGCTTTGCCCCTTTTTCTATCTAAAAAAATTATTCTGAAAAGGATAAGGAGGCTGCGCTTTATAGCAGCAGCTACATGCACTCCGTCCATCTTTCGAACGACTGTACAGACATTTTCTCGTTGTACCTCAATGCAATGATAATAAAGCTTTTTCTGATTCTGATTCAGCTGATCATGAGGTCAGCAGCAGGGCTTTATCCATATTTACCTTTTTTTCAAGACTTGGTTTAGTTTGTGAAATTGAATAAACTGTATTCCATTCTTTAAACACTCAGGGTAACACTGTCTGAATTACATGTTCTCCACTGACAATGTTTAACCATGTTTTCTGATGATTTTTCACAAAATTCTTCTGACTGCAAAGTGTTTGTAATGCAAAACCCTGAAAAAAGGGGGTGGCGCTCCTGCAGGTAAGGTGCGTTTCACTTCAGACAAATTGAGATCCTGATTGGTCAGTTGCTGACTAGCCTGCTGGATTGGTTGGTTGTGGTGGTGTCAAGGCTCCGACTCGTGCTAAAAAAACAAGATTTTACTGGCTCATTTAAGAGTGTCATCATTTATTCCATATTTATTCCAATATTTTGGTGAATCTAAGGTTTGAGAACTGAGTTTCCTTACAAAATACTGATGGTTTCTTTATTTTTCAGGGGTGCCGAGTTAAAATTTAGGGGCACTTGAGCACCTCCAAAAAGAGGTTAAAATTGCCACTGCCTGCTGCTTTTCATACCAGAGTTTTAAACTAGTATGCTTATATTCTGAGAAATGATGGAGTTAAAACTGTTTTGGTCTAACCTTAGCTGTAGCAACCATCATTAAACAAGTTGACAGCAAAAGTTAATGAGCTGTAGATGTGCCTGTGATCACATCCCCAAGAGTTTTCCCCAAGAGTTTTGTTAAAATGTGTTCAGTGGTTCATGAGATATTTTGCCAACAATAACAGACAGATAAAAACCTTATCGCCTGCATTTTGGTGGTGATAATGCAGGTTTGTGACTTTGTTGTGAAGTGCTGAATCCACTGAGTTTCTGTATGTTTGTCTTTGTCCAAGGATATGCCTTCCTGCTGTTCCAGGAGGAGAGCTCAGTACAGGCTCTGATCGAGGCCTGCATGGAGGAGGACGGGAAGCTCTACCTGTGTGTTTCCAGCCCCACCATTAAGGACAAGCCTGTGAGTTCAAAACGCACCATTTCTCCAGAGAAAAGATATGGTGTCACTGACATTTTGTTCATAATAATAATAATAATAATTTTATTTTTAATTCTGACTTCAGGTGCAAATCAGACCTTGGAACCTGAGTGACAGTGACTTTGTGATGGATGGGTCTCAGCCTCTTGATCCACGCAAGACCATCTTTGTAGGAGGCGTTCCTCGTCCTTTGAGAGCAAGTAAGTGGAAATAAAGTCCCACTTATAGCTATAGTTGAACAGTATTTATCTTGTATCTTCTTATGCAACTTCCTCAGCATCTTTTACAGCTTTTGCCCTTTTGTTCGCCCTTTGTTTAGTTGAGCTTGCCATGATTATGGACCGCCTCTACGGTGGAGTGTGCTATGCAGGAATTGACACAGATCCAGAGCTCAAGTACCCAAAGGGGGCTGGACGTGTGGCCTTCTCCAATCAACAGAGTTACATCGCAGCCATCAGCGCAAGATTTGTGCAGCTGCAGCATGGTGACATCGATAAGAGAGTATGACTCCTTCTCAACATCGATTCCCACATTCTCTTCTTTTCATAATGTCAATGAGGTTCTGTTCTTTCTGTTGCATTAAAGGAATAGTTCTGAAATTTTGAAATAACATTCTGTAGAAAGTTTATTATGAAATAGTATTTTATCCTTTGTAGATAGCTCTTTGAATGACCTCAGTTTGCTGAATCAAAGTTTAAGTCAAGTCAACTTTATTTATAAAGCACATTTTAAACAGCAGCTGTTAACAAAGTGCTTAACAATAAAAATCAATGGGAGCAATTCAATGGAAAAAAAATTTAAGTAATGATAGTACCTAAAATTAATTAAAAGTATCAAAAGAAAACACCAAAGTCCATGCTCAATAACCCAGGTATACAATCCAACATTTTTCGGTCAGGTCATCTGGACAGTTTCTTTTTTTTGTGCTGAAATGTTTTCCTTCGGTCCGGAAGGCTTCATCAGTCAAGGAAACACACAACAAAACCTCCTGATGCATGCTCAATAATCCAGGTAGAAAAATCTAAAAAAGTTAAATCTGGTCCTCTGGACATTCAAAAAAAAAAAAAAAAACCAAAGCAAAACAACAAAAAAATGTAGAAACATCCCAGTGGCTTTTAAACCCCAAAATACATTACGGCAAAGACTGGTTCATCCCAAAGATCCAGTCCCCTGGCACAAGCGGATGTAAGACTGATCACAGCCCTCCTGACACTGAACAGCATACACAACATAAAGCCCCCAGTATACTGCCACGTATGTCCGTTCACGTGTACCTATGCGTGTACCGTACGCAGAGGGTTCAGACTTTGTACTCCAGCGTACACCCCGAGCAGCTGCAGAGCAGCTTCACACACAGACGAGGGGCGTTTACCTTCAGGACAAATTGAGGTTGCCGATTGGTCATTTGCTGACACGCCTACTGAATTGATTGACAGGTCGGGGGAAAAAAAGTGAGCGCTGGCAGCCGCAGCGGTGTTCTGTGTTTATATGTTGTTAATAAAAAGATCTACAAAATTTTAAAAAACAGGGAGCGCTGGCTCTATAGCCCACACATCAGACCAGCCCACCAGGAAATCTCCAGACCCTCCTGCAGCCATGTTGGACCTGAGTTTAATTCGCTCGTGACAAATTCCTTAATTTCTCACCATTTCAGTCATTGCATCAACGGAGGAGAAAGAGATCACTTGCCTCTTGGCAAAAAAACAAAAGAAAAGGCCAGATCAGGGATGAAGAAGGGGAATTTAATACATTGGTGTTGCATACAAAACAGTCCGTCTCTGGGCAGTTTATTGTGCAACACCGCGTACGCGTATGTGGTCGTAAAAATTTGAGCTTTGCACGGTCATGCCCTGGGGGGTACGCTCGTACCTCCGCGTACGTATGTGCGTACCTCTGCGTATGGACATACGCAGGAGGATACTGGGGGCTTTACTCATTCATTCAATCTTTATTTAGACAGGTAAGTAATGGGATTTACCCGTCTAAATAAAGGTTGAATGAATTAGTAATGTTGTGTATGCTGTTCAGTGTCAGGAGGGCTGTGATCAGTCTTACATCGGGGAAACTAAACAGCCACTGGCCAAAAGGATGGCCCAGCACAGAAGATCATCATCATCAGGCCAGGACTTTGCTGTCTACACTCATCTCCAGGCCAGCGGTCACTCTTTCAGGGATGAAGATGTGCACATCCTGGATAGAGAGGAACGATGGTTTGAGAGAGGAGTAAAGGAGGCCATCTTTGTGAAAAGAAATTGTCCATCGTTAAACAGGGGTGGAGGCCTACGTGTTCAATTGTCCCCCTCTTACAATGCTGTGATTGCTAGTATCACTCAGCCCTCTGTGAATAGTAAACAGCCATCAGTGATGGTGATCAATGATCCATTGTTAGGCTGATGGCCCTTCTTGATCATGTGAGCAGCTAGTTTTGGTTGTCATCAACAAACAGGTTGATCCACTCTGAGAAGATGCTATTTAAGAGACTGAGCTGAATACAGCACCTCAGACTGAGGAAGTCTTTCGGATGAAAGACGAAACGTTTCTACATTTTGTTGTTGTTTTGCTTTGGTTTTTTTTTTAATGTCCAGAGGACCAGATTGAACGTTTTTAGACACAACAAAACTGATTCTTCCCCCAACAGCTTACTCCAAAGTGGAACAAACCAGTTCTGCTTGTGATAAGATGGTCTCTTTGGTACGCCCCCTCCTCCATTGCCGGCCCTCTTCCTTGTTGACAGTCTTGTCAAACTGGTTGAAAACAGTTAACAGTATCAAAAGAAAAACACAGAACAATAAAATACTAAATCAAATCATACTGTGTTAAAAACCAAAGCAAACGGGTGTGTTTTCAGAAGACATTTAAAAACGAGGTGAAGTGGCCTGTCTGATGTTGGAGGGCAGATGTTCCAGAGTTTAGGGTCCATGACTGAAAAAGCCTGATCTCCTCTGAGCTTCAACCTGGTTTTTGATACAACCCAAAGCTGCTGGTCTGATGATCTCATGACCTGTGAAGGAAGAACATATGGTTCAAATATCTCAGAGAAGTATAAGGGTTCAAGGCCATTTAGGCACTTAAAGGTCAACAGGAGAATTTTAAAATAAATTCTTGGACGTAAAGGGAGCCAGTGAAGGGAGGACAAAACTGGTGAAATATGTTCAAACCTTTGAGTTCCTGTTAAGAGCTGAGCTGCAGCATTTTGGACAAGCTGGAGATGTGAAAGTGAGACCTGACTGACCCAACATAAAGTGCACAGTAGTCCAGTTGGGTTATAATGAAGGCAGGGACTATTTTTTTCAAGGTCAGATCTGATCAACACTGACTTAAGCTTAGATATCTGCCTTAACTGGAAGAAGCTTTTTTGTAGAACAGAATTAATCTGTTTATTAAACTTAAAGTCAGACTCCAAAACCATCCCAAAATGTGTAACAGGCTGCTTAAGATATGACTCAAGAGAGTCGAGGTTTACAGGAACAGAGACAGCAGTAGAACTAGGGCTAAACACAATGACTTCAGTTTTCTGATCATTGAAACAAAACATTTGAAGTCATCCATGCCTTAATGTCATTGTCATTTTAACAGAGGGTGAATGGAGCAGGAACTATTGGGTTTTAAGGGCAGATAAATCTGACAATCATCAGCATAACAAAGAAACGTAAGACCATGTTTCCTCAGGATAGACCGCAAAGGGAGCAGATATAATAAGTAAGAAGTAATGATGAGCTAATAGCTTGGCTGAACACAATGAAGGCTAAAGTCGATAGCTTTACTCTGTTTTTGTATCCAAAACCTTATAGCAGTTTATGTGAATAATGTTCTTAAAACATTTGCAAAGCCATACGTTTTGCATTACAGTAGACCCTCGTTTATCTCAGGAGATCCATACCCTGAAGACCTGCGATAAGTGAAAATCCACGAAGTAGGAATAGTAGTACAAGTTGTAAGTCACAGAATGTCATGATTTCAGCTCCCAGCCTCCTCTCAGCCACAGCTGCACTCAGCCACCTCAAGCGCTTTCGGCCACGCCCACTTCTCCACGCTGCATGAACAGCTGATCAGCTGCAGCAGGAAGTTTATTCTGCAGTGTGGGCTGCACAAAGATGCGGCAAGTGCTAAATAATTTTAAACAATTTATTTTAAATACAAATTCTATGCTGATTGTGCTGCTCATCCATCAATCAACCAATTGTGTCATGTCCAATCTTATTTTGAAAAAACGAGATAAAGCGAGTCCACAATAAATGAACTGCAAAGTAGCAAGGGACTACTGTCCATTTTATTGACATAAAATTGTATGGGTATTTGCAGGCACAAAGAGCAGTAGTCACTTGTGAAATTACAGCATGTGGCACTTCCAACAGGGATATCAACATATTTCTGCTGAAGTAACTTTTTTCATTTATTCAACCTTTATTTCTACAGGTTAATCCCATTGAGCCTCGGGAACTCATTTACAAGAGAGACCTGATTTTAACAGTGACGATAACGGTGGATAACAACAACAACAAAATACAGTCACAAAAGAAGCATACAATTTTTTTCTAACAAATCAAAACAAAGGGCAGCACGGTGGCGCAAATGGTAGAGCTGTTGTCTCTCAGCGAGCAGGTCCTCGGTTCAAATCCCGGTCTGGGGGCCTTTCTGGGTGGAGTTTGCATGTTCTCTCCGTGCATGTGTGGGTTTTCTCCGGGTATTCCGGTTTCCTCCCATAGACCAAAAACATGCATGTTAGACTGATTGGTAACTCTAAATTGTCCCTAGGTGTGAGTGAGAGAGTGAATGGTTGTTTGCCTCTATGTGTCCCTGTGATGGACCCGTCCAGGATGTACCCCGCCCCTCGCACAGTGATTGCTGGACATGGGCGCCGGCAACCCCTGTGACCCAAAATGGAAAGAGCGGGTAAAAGATAATGGATGAATGGATGAAATCAAAACAAAATAGCAACCAAAAGGACAGTCCAAAGGAAAAGTAGCGAAAAGAAAGAGAAAAAAAAACAGCTAGATTATAAGGCGGTGTAGAAAACTAAAAACAGGAACATGTCTGCATTGGGTGTTTTTTGTAACTGTGAAGAATGTGGTTGCAATTTAATTTTAAAAAAGGGTTTGAAATTTTATGAAAGGCTGGAGTTGTTTGAAGAAAACCTGGACTGCACCAACAAGCTAATAATTATTTGTTCAACCACTGTTAAATTCCCACCACAAAATTATTCCAACAGATATATTAAAGTAGTCCTGCTGGAAGTGCCCATGGCTGCACCGAAAAGGGCTTCAGCTAGCTGTTGCTATTGTACTTCCTTTGTAAAAAAATAAAAATCTATTCATGTACTGTACTGTAATGCAAAATTGACAGTGATGTGTAGGTTTAAAATGTTAGAATTTAAAATTTAGAAGATTAGTTGCAGCAAGGGCAGCACGGTGGTGCAGTTGGTAGAGCTGCCGCCTCTCAGTGAGCAGATTTCCCTGGTTCAAATCCTGGCCAGTGGAGTTTCTGGGTGCAGTTTGCATGTTCTTTCTGTGCATGTGTGGATTTTTTCCAGGTCCTCCGGTTTCCTCCCACAGACCAAAAACATACAGTACATGATAGGACGGTTGGTAACTCTAAATTGTCCCTAGGTGTGAGTGAGAGAGAGAATGGTTCAACAAAGTTAAGCCAGGTCATCTGAACAGTTTCACCTCGGACTGACGAAGTCCTCTGAAGGACAAAACATTTTAACAATTAAAAAAAAAAATCTAAAAAAGTAACCGTCCTGATGAACTGTCTTAACTTTGTTGGATTTTTTTACCTGGATTATTGAGCAGAGTGAATTGTGGTTTGTCTCGTTTGTTTCTTTGTGTCCATGTGATGGACTGGAGACCTGTCCAAGGTGTCCCCCGCCTCTTGCACAGTGACTGCTGGACATGGGCACCAGTGATCCCCATGACCCGAAAAGAAAGAAGCGGGTAAAGATGATGGATGGATGGATGGATGCAGTAATCTGGTTTGTTGTTTGGCTGTCAGATATAAACTCTATTTTCACAAACTAAGGTCATTCAAAGAGCCACCTACAGGTAGGAAATGATATTTTATAACTTTCTACAGAAACTCTACAAAATTTCTAAACTATTCCTTTAAGACCTAAGCTGCTGTTAGCATTCACCTTAGCCTCAGGTCTTTATGTCCAAACTGTTCGCAGGTGGAAGTGAAGCCCTACGTCCTGGATGACCAGCTGTGTGATGAATGTCAGGGTGCACGCTGCGGAGGGAAGTTTGCTCCTTTTTTTTGTGCTAATGTCACATGCCTTCAGTACTACTGCGAGTTCTGCTGGGCCAATATCCACTCTCGGGCAGGACGAGAGTTTCACAAGCCGCTGGTAAAAGAGGGCGCCGACCGTCCTCGCCAGATCCACTTTCGCTGGAACTAATGATGCAGCTCCACATCCACAAAGACCCAGTGAATCAGGAAACTGAGCATCACTCTATCTCTCCTGCTTACCTAAGCTATCAGTATAATCAAGAGCGTAACACTATACAACATATACTATATATAGCTATATATGTTTTGTAGCAGCCGAACACCACAAGCCTCAGTTTTTCACCAAAACCCCATCACATCTCAGGCTTTGACAACTCTACAACTCTTTTGTGGTACTTTCATCTTTTCTAAGAGGAGATTTTAAAAAAAGAGATTGATTTTTGTAGCTTTTTTAATTATTATTATTTTTGTATGTGAGATTTAAAGTAGGTATGGGAATGTTTTTGCATTGTGGGCAGCTTGTCTGTCTGTTTCATCTGCTGCTAGCAACCACACAGTGCGTTCAGTGCACACTTCTTTCTCTAACGTTGACACGCACCGCAGGTGATTAACCAAAGGTAGCAAAATAATAGGAAGCATGAGAAATGAAACATTGTTTGCTGCGGAAACAAAACTTTTTTTTTTATTGCTGCCATGGGCTCTTTCTTCTTGATAGAGAGTTTATTAAAAAAAGAAGAGAAGGAGTTTATTTTTTGTGCTCATTTTGACCTGTAGGGTGATACCTCAAAAGACAAAATCCAGTTTCTGCTAACTTTGTTCAACATTTATACTTAAAAAACCTACTTTAGAAGCGTTGCTGCTATATATAAATAATATATATATATAAATAAATATATATAAATCCATATATATTAATAGATATGTAGGTGTTATGTTTAATGCCATTTATAAAGCTGAATCATGTAAAATTAAAAGCAGCATGCACACCACTCGTGGCTCATTCTGCCATAGAAAGAGTGCATGTAACAACGATAGGCTTAGCTGCACAAATAGCATGCAGGACATATGAGAAAAACAAACAAACATCATATTTAAAATAAAACAACAATTCAGTACAAAGTAACATGATCAATTACAGATGTCTAAGAGAGAAAAAAATCTGAGGCCGTTAAAAAAGAAAAGCAAACCTGTAAACTTGCATGCATTGTTGTTTCTCTGTTGTTTGATCTGTTTACATATTATCAATACAAAATGTGATAATGGTTCTACCGTAGACGTAGTGGCTACCATTTTTTGGTGACATGGTGGCTTGTATAGCTAAAACAAAAACATAGTGTGGTGTTCAGTGGTTTGTGTTGTTGTTGCTGCGCGACTTCTTAGTGTAGATTGAATCGGTAGTTTAATTACCAACAGGTGATGTAGAGGATGCCTTCATCCTTGTTATTGTGAATCTTTAAACCTTTGTTTAAAAGTTCTTCTGGCAGACCAACACAAGACAGGACTGGGTCACACACTTTACATCAATAGCCTGCACATTTTGTAATAAAACTGTAATAAATCGAAGACAACTCTGGCCCACTTACCGGATGATCGCCACATATTTTCTCACACTTTTACAGCGAGGAAGATGGCTCTAAAGATGAAGCTCTTTATGTTTATATACACTTTTGGCACCTCAGCCCTTGAAAAAGACATTTTAACAACAGTTTTGGGACAATCTTTTTGTGATGACGGTGGCTCAGCAGTCTGTTCAGTACTGTACAAGTGTGTCGTGTCGTGGTTTTAGTGTCTCGTGTGTGTGTGTGTGCGCGCACGCTGGTCGATCTCAGTGTTAAGGTGTAACCTGTGCACTGATGGGATGGAAACTCAAAGCTTATATCTCATATCAAGGCTCATTTCATTGAAATTGTTTGTGTTGACTACTTACCCATCACCGGCTCCTTATTATGTTTTTAATAATGATATATATACATATATATTATGCACTACTTTTATATATACCCCAACAAAGTTCCTTCTCATTTGACCAATCATCATGCAGAAGTGAGTTTCACCTATTTATAATTGTACAGATGATTTAATAGATTTTGTTTTTAAGAATTATTTAATTGTGATGTAGCGGTCCTAATTTATCTGTTTGGTGTGATTAGAGCAGGAATCCAACATTTTCTAATATAACCTAAAGGAATTTGGACGTTGTGAAAACCTGAAGCCCCACTGACACACCCCCCCCCCCAACACACACACACACACACACTTTGTTGGCATCTGATGCTGTGTGAATATCATTACCTGTAACACTTGACTGTTTCTCGTGAGGTTCTGTTTTCTATGTAGAACACGGTTACTTTGTTCTGTCCTTTGTTTTTTGTAAAACATATTTATTTCACTATTTTTGTAGACAAAAAAATATTTGATTTTGATTGTATTTTTCTATTTAAATAGGACTAAGAATACAATTTATAGCCCTCCCCCTGCCGCCCTCCATCCTAAAATGCCCAAAAGTTCTCTGAAAATCATTAGTGGGATTAGGAGATGGTTTTGGATACACAGTTGTAAATTATTTTGAAGGAAGGAAACATGAAGGTTTTATTTTATTCTGGGAAGACACTTGACTCCCACCCTCCACCCTCTCCATTGCATTGAGGCCCACAGCTGCCTGTCCTCATAGATGCTCTGAAACTTGAATATAACACATTTTGAAAGGCTGACTAACCTCAAATCTGTGTTGTGATGTGCAATACTGTTTCTAATGTTTGTATAAAAGTAAGAACTAAAGTGTAGACTTTTGAAATGCAGATTTATTTTTTTCATTGCATATTTTGCAGATTTCTGATCCACTGTCATTTTTTACTGTCAGAGAAACAAACCCCGTTTTTTCATTGCAAGTATTTTTAAATCCAGATATCTTTGTACTGATGTAAATGATTGTAGTTATTTTAGTGTTTTGCTAACAAAAGAAGAGATTTTTCATTCATATTTCTATTTTATTTAATCTTGTTTTATCCTGCTTTTTTCAGTAGCAAATTTCTTGAAATTGTTTTTCTCATATTTAATTGTCACTGTTATTATTATTTGTGGAAACAATATATTTAAGATGCTAACTGCTAATATAAAATTTTGAGTTTGATCATTTTTAAAGCTAAATATTTATAATTTTATTGTTAAAGTGACTACTTTCTGAATCAAAGGTTGTGTATAAAGATTCACACAAAGTGATTTATGAGGCGTTTGGAACAGGTATTACTAAATGGTTTTTGATATGCAAACTGAATATCATTTTTATTTTTGTTTTGTTGGTTTTACATTTAAATGGGGTGTTGATTACAATCTCTTTTTTTCACTTCCTGAATAAAGACCCATTCTGTTTGGACAAACAGACTGCCTTTAATTATTTTATCAGACACTGCAGTAAATAAGTATGAAATTTTCAAACTTTTTTTTATTTATTTTTATCATTGTGTGTTCTAAAGTAAAAAAAAAAAATTATACAAAACGAAATACTGTTGATAAACCATGGATGACAAATGGGTTGAAAAACGCTTGAAAAAAAAGAACAATTTGTACTTGTGCTTCTTGAAATTGAAAACAAAAGAAGCAGAAGATACAAAAAGTATAAAAATAAACTGGTTTGGATCATAAGAAAACAAGAAGGAATATTATAGTAATTTATTAGACAAAAGTAATGGTAATATGAGAACATGGCAAATAATGAATAGCGTTCTAAAAAATCATGAATCCAAATCAAGTATTTCACAATATTTTGTAAAGGATGGTAATAATATCCATGACCAAAATGTGATTGTAAATGAGTTTAATAATTATTTTGTAAATGTTGGCCCAAGCCTTGCAAACAAAATACCTACAGTAGATAGAAACGTGAATCACAAAATTACAAGTTGTACTAATAGTATATTTTTGGAGGGAACTAACAAAGAAGAGGTAATGGATGTTGTAAATGACCTTGCAGATAAAAGATCAAAGGATTAGGTTGACATGGATATGATGTTTGTAAAAAACATAATGAGTTATGTCATTGAGCCGTTTGTACACATCTGTAATCTGTCATTTAAATCAGGAATATTTCCAAATAATATGAAAACAGCCAAAGTGGTTCCACTTTTTGAAAATGGGGATAAACGTGACTTTAATAATTATAGACCAATATCACTGTTGCCACAATTTTCAAAGATTTTGGAGAAATTATTTGGGATCAGATTGGATCAGTTCATTGACAAACAAAACACACTAAGTAACAGTCAATATGGATTTAGAAAAAATAATTCCACATCAATGGCACTTGTTGAACTGGTGGAACAAATAAATATAGTTGATCAAAAGAAGGGTTGTATTAGTATTTATGTTGATTTAAGGAAGGCATTTGATACTATAGATCATGGAATTCTTGAGAAACTATATAAATATGGTATTAGAGGGAAAGCATTAAAGTGGATAAATAGCTATTTGGAAGATAGAAAACAACTTGTTCAAATACATAACATAAGATCTAAATTTAGTAATATCACATGTGGAGTGTCTCAAGGCTCCGTACTTGGACCCAGGTTATTTAATTTGTATATACAAGTCCTTCTCAAAAAATTAGCATATTGTGATAAAGGTCATTATTTTCCATAATGTAATGATAAAAAGGAAACTTTCATATATTTCAGATTCATTGCACACCAACTGAAATATTTCAGGTCTTTAATTGTTTTAATACTGATGATTATGGCATACAGCTCATGAAAACCCAAAATGCTTGTCCCAAAAAATTAGCATATTTCATCCCACCAATGAAAGACAAGTGTTTTTAATACAAAAAACGCCAACCTTCAAATAATCATGTTCAGTTATGCACTCAATACTTGGTCAGGAATCCTTTTGCATGAATGACTGCTTCAATGCGGTGTGGCATGGAGGCAATCAGCCTGTGGCACTGCTGAGGTGTTATGGAGGCCCAGGATGCTTCGATAGCAGCCTTAAGCTCATCCAGAGTGTGGGGTCTTGTGTCTCTCAACTTTCTCTTCACAATATCCCACAGGTTCTCTATGGGGTTCAGGTCAGGAGAGTTGGCAGGCCAATTGAGCACAGTAATACCATGGTCAGTAAACCATTTACCAGTGGTTTTGGCACTGTGAGCAGGTGCCAGGTCATGCTGAAAAATGAAATCTTCATCTCCATAAAGCTTTTCAGCAGATGGAAGCATGAAGTGCTCCACAATCTCTTGATAGCTAGCTGCATTGACCCTACCCTTAATAAAACACAGTGGACCAACATCAGCAGCTGACATGGCACCCCAGACCATCACTGACTGTGGGTGCTTCACACTGGACTTCTGGCATTT